ACATGTCTATTCAGTAATACTACTTAGAAGTAACAGACACAGAGATGCCTCAGGAATCACTAATGACTGAGTTTTATTTCACTGCATTATAGGCAAAATCAAGACAGAACTTCCAGGGTCCTCTCATCTCTGTCTTAATGATTGATACGAATTTTTATTTTTCTATCACTGTGTTTTTTTTTTAAAAAACTTACTATAAAATGTATAATCAACTGGATTCTAGGAGTATGGCCCAGTGCTTAGCTGTGGGTGAGGGATACTATTTCAAGCCCAGATACACGGAGGAGGGCCTAGGCCCTCCCCCAGATGATGTGACAGGCTGTGATGATCCCCCATGGAAGGCCTCACTATCCTTGGTGAGCAGGTGGAGGGTGGGTTGGGGGACTTGGTAGGGGGTATGGGAGGATGGGAGGGAGAGGGAACGGGGGGATTGATATGGAATGATTGTTTCTAAATAGAAAAAAATGTATAACCAGCCTGCCTTGCTGAACTGTTTCTACTAGCTTATACTCAGTGTGTTTCTACTACCTCATAGTCTCCTCTGTAAAATCTGAAAACAAATATGCTGAGTTCTTTATCTACTATCCACACATTAGTGAATGTGCATCCAACATGTCTTCTTCCTGTTTTAACAGATCTCCGAAGCACACATGCCTGAAGACCTAAAGAAGAAAAGGGGCAACCTGCTCAACATGGGGAGACCCACGTGGGTTTTAAGGAAGAGTAGCTATTCACAAGGGGAGAATGAAGCACCCCAGTCATCAACGGATAACTCAACAGAAACACATCAAAAAGCCAAGCCTCGAGTCTTTCAGAAGCCCATGGAGATGAATTGGCCACTGTTCACTCGGCCCTTAAACAAAAGTTCAATCCAAGGCAACAAATGGAAGAAAGCAGATGCAACCCAAGAGAAACGAAGGTCCTTACTTTATGAGTTTTGCAAGAAAAATGGTGGAGTAAAGGATCCCCAGTCCAATCTTTTTCATATGGTATCCAGGATCTTTGTAGAAGACAAACACAAAATCCTGTACTGTGAAGTACCAAAGGCTGGATGCTCTAATTGGAAAAGGGTTCTGATGATCCTAAATGGGTTAGCTTCCTCTGCACTCAATATTTCCCATGACACTGTGCACTATGGAAAGCATCTGAAGACATTAGATAGCTTTGACTTAAAAGGAGTATACATGCGATTGAATACCTATACCAAAGCTGTGTTTGTTCGTGATCCCATGGAAAGATTAGTGTCAGCATTTAGGGATAAATTTGAGCATCCCAATAGTTACTACCATCCAGTGTTTGGAAAGGCAATTATAAAGAAATACCGACCAGATGCCAGGGAAGAAGCATTAAATAATGGGTCTGGAGTCAAATTCAAAGAATTTGTCTCCTATCTGCTGGATGCTCACCGTCCAGTAGGGATGGATATTCACTGGGAAAGGGTCAGCAAACTGTGTTATCCATGTTTGATCAACTACGACTTTATAGGGAAGTTTGAAACATTAGAAGAAGATGCCAGTTACTTTCTCCAGCTGATTGGTGCCCCGGCAGAGCTGAAGTTTCCAACCTTTAAGGATCGGCACTCCTCTGATGAAAGAACCAGTGCCCACATGGTAAGACACTACTTAAAGGACCTGAGTCCGGAGGAGAGGCAGAGCATCTTAGACTTCTATCACTTGGGGTAAGACACTACTTAAAGGACCTGAGTCCGGAGGAGAGGCAGAGCATCTATGACTTCTATCACTTTAACTATTTGATGTTTAACTACACAGCTCCACATTTGTAATCTGCATTCATTTTCTAAAGCCCTGCATTGACTTAATGATGATGGCCTTAAATCAACTACTGTAATTTTCCTACAATTCTCTGTATGGGGGAAATTTAACTAAGTGGAGTTGTCTTGATTGAATGAAGATTTTTTTTTAACCAAAGAGTATGACAGCAATTGGCACAAAGTTATTGGAAAAATCATCTTAAGGAGACATGTAAACAACTTGATGTGCTTTTGAAATGTTGAGGAAAGAGCTGTTTTGCCATTGTGACTTACACCGTGGAAGCAATAACCTAGCCAGCTATTACATTAACCAAGAAAGCCTCTTGCATGTAAAATAAGGGGGTCAATAATGGAGAGAATTATGTATCCAAATCTTGGCATCTATCATGTAATATGCATGTGTCTATTCTTAGCAGCCTGTGGCACATGCATCAAATGACTGGGTGGTGTTCTTATACCCTGAATCTTCTTAGCCACTGTGATGATGAACCCATTGTAAAATGTTTGGGTGGGCATTTTACTATTGATCTGGAGGCATTCTGTAATTTACAATATGAGAATAGAGCACAAAAACAGATGAGTCTGTGCCTTTTTTTTAACCAGTTGGTAAAAATGCACAACATGCAAAGATTAAAACAACTAAAGCCACCTTTTTCTTCCAGGAAAAACTTCAGGGGATTGATTTCCTTTTTGTGGGGGAGGTGGGTGAGCCCTCTATGATGAGACAAATGAGCACAACCAAGCAGGTCCTCATTTCCAAACAGCATCAGATAGAAATGTGCTCTTAATTCTGCTTTAATTGGAAAGGGGGCAATTGTTTCATGATGGAATAATCATCAAAACCAAAAGTTGCCGCTCTGAATATAGAGCTCTAACAATAACAGAGTTTTATAAGAATATTACTTGAATCAAAGCACCATGTGCACAGCTTTCTATACAGAATACACTCTAAGAATAGCTCTCATCTGCAGTCTAATTATTCAGATACAGAATACACTCTAAGAATAGCTCTCATCTGTAGTCTAATTATTCAGCTTGGGAATAATTTTTTAAGCAATAATATACCACTTCAAAGACAGGTTATGTTCTAGAGAATAAACATAACAAGAGCCCCTAGAAATGTTTTTAATAGGCTTATGCATAAGCAAATTAAGGTATTTTCTTCTTACGTTTAAATACTCTACACTAACAAAGTCAAATGCCATTGCATTCAAATATTAAATCAAAGTCTTTGGAAAATAGGACCATGTGTCACCCTTATGAAAAGTTGTAATGCACTTTGGAAACTTTTTCCGAGGGATCTTAAATTTAAAGACACATTCGGATGAGAAGTATGTTTTAATTAGTTAACTACTACCCTGACTTAAGCAAACCACATGTCAATCAAATACTGTGGAAATGTCTTTCTTAAACACGTTTCTCTTCCCAAGCTATCGGTTTTTTGATCAGTAAATATTCAGCTATCTTGCAAAGAAAGCTACATCTTAATATTTGAATATTAATAGACCAAGATCCTTATAGTCATACGTGTCTCATTTTGATTTTCCATTTCATGGCTGAGTATTCATAAATTGCTTCATTCTGTGCACACACCACCCTATCTCCTCTGCATCTCACAGGAGTGGGTGAACGGCAGTGGCCACATCAGCAACAGTATTAAAGTCTGCACAACAACCTTTGCCTACTTTCCACCCCATTTCTTTATGCCTCTAGACCATACACTTAAGCCAAGTAATCCAAATTATATAAGTTAAAATGTTGCTGTACTGGGTAAAGTGGATTCCTAGTATATATATATATATATATATATATATATTACAAAACTATTTTTATAGCTCTGTAAAGGAAAAATGAAAATTCTCTCTCATTTAGCACTTCTCATACACAGGGACCAGGCTGACATATTTATATGCCATATTTAAACATACACAAATCCTTTGGC